AGTCTTTTTTTTCTTTCCATTTTCAGAAATACTAGGCACCCACCCAACCCGTTTTCACGTAAAGAACACTTTTTTGCAGTTTTATTTGTATTAACCACAAGCCTATTCGTGGCTTTAGGGTTGCGTCTTAATTTTTTGTCTCCGAATCTGGAAATGGTATATGGAATTATTCACCAATTCTCGAAATCCTTAAAATCCTTATTTATGAGGATCCTGATCAGGACAATGAAACAAAAATTTGAAATCATTGTATTGTGATTGGTCCTTGACAAGTGTGCAACATTTCGAATTCATCTGACCTTTTAAAGTGGGTAAAAATCAAGTTCAAAGATTCCATTACATATAAGTGAAACTTATAAAAGCCTATTAAAAACCATTAAAAAAAATCAAGTTTTTTTAAAATCATACTATACCCCCCCTTCCCCCTCTGTAAGTATAATTATGTAAAGAATAAATTGTAAAAGCAAATATTTATTGTTGTTAATTTCAACAAATGAGACATTTGTGAGCAAAGGTTCCAATGGGAAGAAGGAAAATCGCATATTTTTAAAAAAATATAAACATTCTGAAAATTAAAAAAAAAAAGGTCACCTTAAAAAAAAACTTTGTATTCGCGTTTGAGAAACCTGTGACAAACACAAATAAATATTAATCGAGGTTTTAAATTAAAAAAATATTTCTATGCACACACATAAATATTTTAATCGATGTTTTAAGTTAAAAAATATTTCTATCATCTACATCGTAAATGAAAATTACCGTAGAATTTTTTTTTCAGAATCAAAAAATATTTCTACCTTATTTTACTGGATCCTCTTTCAAAGAATTCCTATTTTTATTTTATTTTGAGATTTATGGCCATTCACCATTCATTGCTCGAAAAAAGATTTCTTCAAAATCGTTGAACTTTTTTCGGACATAAATAACTCCCCCCCGCAAAATTGTGAAAGCCCAATATTTTTTATGCATTTCTTTCACGTTCTAATGTCCTTGTAGAAATGCAGTTGCTTGTGAAAGGGAAATGGTTTCCACAAAATAAAATATGAAGCACCCAATTTTACATCCTATTTTTCTTTTGACAGTGTTTAAGTATGAATCGTCCAGTTTAACTCATACTTATTTTTGATGTTATAGTGTGTTATTCAAAATCTAGGATTAAAACGATTCATATATTTGAGTGATTTAACAAGTTTTAGAATCTTGTCCATTAAAATAAGTTTCTTTTTACAATGACTAAATTTTTTCGGTGCAGTTATTATATGTTAAAAAAAATTCAACTGTTTTTTCACTTTTTTTATATTTCAAATTATGATTACATTTATCATGATGGTAATAGTTATATATTGAGTGTACAAGTAAGTTAAGTGTATAAGTACCTAGAGACATTTAATTGTTTTTATGTGTGTGATTTTTTATGTTAAATCGTCATAATTAAGCTTTAGTTTAGAGAATGTCTTATTTTGTTGAAGTGTAAGCAACATAGCTTTTTGAAATCCAAATTTATCGACTTTTGTACCCGCTAAATGCATTTTGCAGGGGATTTTTCTTTGTGTGTGTGTGCTTTCATTTGAAGAAAAAAGAAACTCTTAAACTTATTTGTACCTTTATAAATGAGCCAACCCTAAACAGGAAATAGTTTTATTGTTATTAGAAAAAAAAAAGGTTTTTCAGTTACCTTGTAATAATATGCCCATAAAGATTTCTATTAATTACATACACACCTCCCTTTCTCCCACATCAGTTCAGTGCATTCAAATTAATAAATATTGCACTTCGTGCATATGGTAAGAGAAACGCATGAATTATTTTACCATTTCAAATCTTTGGGCTATTTATATGAATTTATTGTATCTTCATGTTATACACTTATATATTCTGTTTTAACTATATTAAATTCCCTTGAGTGTCATAAAGTGAATTTCTTTTCGAATCTTTTAGGATACAAGGCACAACTTCCCATAAAGAAAATCCTTCTGTGTGCTTCTATTTTTAAATCTGTGATCTTCTGTCAGAAATAATCAAACACTCTATACATAATGATTCTATGCGCGTGCCACTTTTTATCGATGGCACAAAAATATCTACTTACATTCGTTCAGCAAGACCTAGACGAGACATATATATATATATATATATATATATATATATATATATATATATATATATATATATATATATATATATATATATACGTTAAAATCATAGTTTTGTGTATAATGTGTAGTTGAACAGATTTATGTTTCATGCAAGAACTTTGAATGCTGTGAAGCATTGGGACGAGATCATTCCTTCGTATATCACACTAATATGCTAGTACTATTGGTAAGATCATTCTAACAAATAATTTCTGATTGTGCACCAACTAATTTTGTTGATTAATATGTTGAGATTTAAGATTTAAGGGGAATGCAGTGGTGGACAAAACTGTGGACACTTTTGGAAACTTTTATGTTTTTAAAAAAAAACAACAACTTATGTTTATAGAAAATATTACGTTTCATAAAATGCAAAGGCGTACATATCATTTTAAAAGGAATTTAATACTAAATTCATTACGAAAAATAAAATTCAAATACAGTTGAACTTTTATGTAACGAGCCATTATATTGCGAATTTTTCCATATTTCTTTTTCTTGGAACCTTAAATATTTCACGATTTTTTTTCGTAAAATAACCTCTGTATAGCGAAGTGCATTTTCTATATAACGAACATTTTCTTTTGTGATTCAATTTTTTCTCTCCTTATTTTTAAAGTATTTTCTAGCATTTCAAGTTGTTCTTTCCTTAACACATTTTATGGTGGTCATTAATCTTGAACTGGTTTTATCAGATCCTAACTCACTGAAAGCAATAGAGTTCTGAACGTTTCATCCAAGAAGTGCAACATTTAACCCCCGTTGTCCAGTTCACTAGAAACATCTTCGATATCCACTTTCACACTCAATGGATTTGTCCCGTATCCCCGTGTTCAAGTTATAAAATAACGATGTTTAAAATTACTTGTATGCTTTAAATTAGAAAGGGACCTTAAAATTCATTAACTTTGATGTAAAAATTATTTTTTTAATATTAAAAATACAGTCAGTATTCGACATTCTTTTTTCTTATTTTCATTGAAGTTTTTTTTCTATCTTTTTTTTGATGGGTAAGATATATAAAATAAACATATATATATTAATTTTAAAAAAAGATGTGGATAATAATTTTTTAATACATAGTATTTATGAATTTAAAATTTGTTTTATGTGGTTTATAAAGTATATTAAAAGATGAACCTCTATATAACGAATTTTCCACATAACGAACTTTTTTCTTGGATTTAACGATTTCGTTATATAAAGGTCCGACTGTATTTACAAATTCAAAAAAAAGCAACAACCAAAAAAAAAATGATCGATATACATTAGATACTGATGTTAGTAGTGGGTTATCAGTCCTAAGAAGGATAACCTTGATTTTTTATTACAGCTTCCCATGGATGTTTCATTGAGCTGATGGTCTTAAGGTGAGGATCTTAAGCTCTTTCTTTTTGTTATTGTATGATGCCAGGAAACAATTATATCTTCAATTAGTTCCCTTTTTTTTCATGGGTACCTCATACGGGCAAGAGTGTTCATACAGAGCCACAAGTTTTCAATAGGATTGAGGTCAGGACTATTTCCTGGCCAAGACAAAAATGATATTTAGTTAAGAAGCAATGAAATAAAGTAAAAGAGTATATTGGACACCTAGAAAGAGATGTGTGTGGAGAAAGTGTTATTTTCTTTGATAAAATTGAAAGACAGGCGGGTGGTTCAGGAACTACATCTGGTGTATGAAAATTTTGTTTAAAATACCAGGAAACACTTAATAAGAAAAACAAATCACTAAAAGGCTGAAAGAGTGGCACCCCACCTGTTGATGACAAAAGAATAAAAAATACCATGTTTCCAAGATAGAATAATGTAATCAACGGCCATAAAAGTTATATCAATGATACTGTTGCTTCAGTCAGTTAAGAAACAACCAGGAGAATATTATCAAATGTTAGACTAAGAGATGGAATTCTATGAAATTTTTTTTTGTCTCAATTTACACCAGCACTAAAGAGACTGAATTGGGGAATGGTACACATTAATTGAACAAAACATCAGTGGTCATAAGTTATACAGAGTGATGAAACAAAGATATCGTTATTTGGTAGTGATGGCCAAAAATATGCCAGACGTCGAATTGGAGAAAAGCTACATTCTGACAGCATCCAGGCAACTGTGAAGAACCCACATAGTTTCATGATTTTGTCATGCATATCAGAAAATGGTATCTGTCGCAGTCATGTCATCGATGGGACATTGAATGCCAGAAAATGTATTGACACTATTTCTAGAATCTAAACTTCTACCTTCCATAATTAATCTATTTCCCAACAATGTTTAATTAATTTTTCAGTAGGATTCCGCCCTTTGCCACACAGCAAAACTTTTGAAAGAGTGGTTTCGTACAAAGAGCATTGGACTGTTGTCCTGCCCAGGAAACACTCCTGACCTCAGTCCTATCGAAAGCTCGTGAAACTGTTTGAAATCTCACGTCCAAATGACGTTCCCATGAAATAAAAGTTAATTAATTGAGAAAATATAGTTGTTTCCTGGAATCATGTAAAAACGAAGGAAGAGCTTATACCTATTTTCAGCTCAATGAAACATCGATTAAAAGCTGTAATAAAAAACAAGTAATATATAAAAAAATTAAGTCAATTCCTACTTAGGTCCACAAAGAAAAATTTGTTTTTGTTACTTTTTATTAAATAATTACACAACTAATATAAATATCTATATACATGTGACAGAATCACAGTATTTAGTAGCAAAATAGAAAGCGATTTTCCTCGCAATTTTCCACATTTTCCTTGCTATATATTATGCTGAACTATTATTTTTGTAACTATATTTATTCATCAATTACATTTAATTGTTTCCATAAAAAGGAAAAGTAAAAAGAAGCCACATTCTCATAAATTAGGCAACCTCAGATGGGATTCAAGCCCATGACAGTTGGATTAGAGGTTCAATGTGCTATTCATTGCACTACAGGGAC